TATGAAACATTTCTTTTGGCAGAGCACAGGAGAGTAAAACTGATTCGTAGGGAATGTTGTGAGTCGGCTCGGGGATTCATTTCTCTCTTGTTCTGGCTTAAACCTGGGTTAATTTTAGAGTATCTGGATCATCTGGTTGACCTTAAAGGAGAGTTAGATTCCCAGAAGAAAGAAGGTCAGCCGATTAGGAAGCATCCTGATAAGTGCAAGCAACCTAAAGTCCAGCCCTATTGGCTGAACCAAATATATTTCTGGGCTCATGTCATTTAGAAGTTCAGTGGTAGTCTTAGCATCAGACAGGACTTTACTCAGAGCCTAAATGCCCTCACCAGGGCCTGGTTTCTTTCTCTGCTTTCCCAAGACTATTTTCATGGTATGGCTTCATGTTCAGACAGGCTTGTTAGCTCTCAGGACAGCACACAGGGCTGTTGGCACTTCACACTGTTACGTTGATACCAATAGTTAAAATGGAACCCCCTGCACTCACTGGTAAATAGCCACTGTCCCGAGCCCTTTAAGTATGGGAATATCCTGGACCTCCCCAAAATGCAACTCAAGAGTTAAAGCTCAGCATAGCAATGGGCCTGTCGAAGTCCTTCCTTCCTATGCTGACTTGTCAGATTAGTTCTGGTTAGTCAGATTTTGAAAATAATTCCTCTATTTCTTCTTTATATTGTTGGGGGAAGAGAAGGTGTTTTTCCCACCATTCTCAGTGGAAGTCCTGAGTTTCAATCTGATTGGATTACATTAGGTCACACACTTATTCCTTAACCGATCACTGTAGACTGGTAAGCACTAGTTAACCTAGGCTAGATTACATATCCTACCCTTGACCTCACTAGACCCAAGATGAGCAGCTTGTCTGGGAACAGGGAGCAGAAACAGTGGAGCAGAAACTCTTGGGTTTTAGAATCAGACAGATCCAGGTTAGTTGATTTACTCATGAATTCAAAACACTGCGTGTAACACACCAAATAAAGCAGACCTAGTTCTAGCCCTAACAGAAACATTAAACCAGTATATCGGTTGTCTATTGCCATGTAGCACACCACTCCAAAACTTAGTGACCTAAACAATGACGATTTTATGTGCTCACCATTGTATGGGTCCACAATTTGGGCTGGGCTCAGCTGGGTGATTCTTCTGGACTAATTCATGTAGCTGCAACTGGAGCTGGATGATCTAAATGGTCTCACTCTTGGGTCAGACCATTGATGTTGGCTGTTGGCTGAGCCAGGGGATTCCAGCAGTCTAGCATGGGCTCTTCACTCAGCAGCAGGGTTCCAAGAGGACAAGCCCAATGCACATGTGCTTTTCAAGGTTGTGATTACGAGGGCTGTACTACAACAATCTGCCACAATCAGTAACAACCACATAAGAAAGCAATGACAAGTTATGATTACCGCTGTGAGAGAGGGTTACTATTCCAAGTGGCACCTGAGCCAGCAGCATTGGCATCACCTGAGACTTGTTAGAAATGCAGCATCTCAGGCTCCACTGCAGGTCTGTGAAATCAGAATCTGCAGTTTAACAAGGTCCCCAGGAGATGTGTGTGTATGGTAAAGTTTCAGAAGCTGGTGACTATTAGGGGGACCAAGGAGTGAAGGAGGGGAAGAAACAGCACAGCTAGTTTATGCCACTTAGTGTGCTTCCCACATCCTCCCAGTTTCTGCTGTGACCTGGCTACCAGGCCAGCAGTGACCTTCTCCCACTGTCCTGAGCCCCACAGAAGGGCCCCACATTCACAGTCTCACAGTGAGGACAGCTTTGGTTCAGTGGGTATCACCCCGAGGCAAGCACCTAAAACTGGACTTCCACTGGGCTTGGCAGGGAGCTTGCCCCTGAAAGGTGGGGACAAATGGGGCCCCTGTTTATGTATACACAGTTCCAGGCAGCAACAGAGGCCAATGTTGGAGCAGCCAGTTCTGGGCTCCCTAAAGACCCCTAGGAAAGCCAGACCCTCAGGGCTGCTTGGTCCTTCAGCCCCTCACCTGGCATGGAGGGTGATGGTGAGTTGTCAGGTTGATAGCCAAAGGCTGTGAAGAGGCTTTCCTGGTGGGCAGGTGGGTGGCATTCTAGAATGCTCTGCTAGAATGACTGTATGTCCCATTTGCACAGGGCAGTCCTGTGGACACCTGCCATCCTGTTTTTGTAATGATTAATAAGGCCCCTTCTCATTCTGGTTTGGATCAAAAATTGAAAGGGTCACCCTAGTTAAAGGGTGAGTTTAATCTCAGAACGCAGGAAGGTGCCTCTGAAAGAGCGCTGGACCCTGAATCAGGAATAGGAACTCTTGTCTTGCCCTGCTGCTGACAGGCTGGGGGACCTCAGGCATATTCCTTTGTCCCTCTGGCTTCAGTTGCCTTGTGTCTGAATTGAGGGGTTGGATCAGACAATCCCTGCTGGGGAGTAAATGAATGTGTTGTCCTTCGGGTTCTGCTCCGTCGGCTCCATGTTGATGAGGACCTTGTTCTCTCTCTAGCATCTTTGGTTCTGTGTCCTCTGGGGACCTCACATTCTGCTAGTTCCTCCCCCAGTCCGCAGCTTGCAGGAGCCCTGGAGTAGTGTCTCTGAGGCTCTGCCTCGGAGCTCTGTGCACGTGGGGCCGCACTGCCTGTCTGCCTGCCTACTCCCCCATACTCTGTTCCACTGGGATCCTTCTTTAGCTTGAACTTCCTAGCTGTGTGACATTTGGGACAAATAATCACCTGTGACTGTTTCTCCATCTGCCATGGGAGATAGTGATGTCATTCTTGCAGGATCATGGATAATGTACATAAAGTGTCTGGCCCATCATAGGAACTCACCAAGGCATTTCTGTGCCTCATGTCTTAAAGTTGACCACCTGGAGGGCTCAGCTCAAGTCTTCAATGTGTTGAGAACTAAAGGAAGTGATTTACAAGTGTGAAGGCTCTAGAAGTTTCCTCTCTGTAATAGTCTGCAACACTCTGAATTTTTTTTTTTTTTTTGGAAAAATTATTTGTTTATTTATTTAGAGACAGGCTTTTGCTCTGTCACCCAGGTTGGAGTGCAGTGGTGTGATCACAGCTTACTGCAGCCTGCAACTCCTGGGCTCAAGCTGTCCTCGCGCCTCAGCTTCTCAAGTAGCTGGGACTACAGGCATGTGCCACTATGCTCAGCCAATTAAAAAAATATATTTTGTAGAGACAGACTCTCACTATATTGCCCAGGCTGACCTCTAGCTCCTGGCTTCAAGTGATCTTCCTGCCTTGGCCTCCCAAACTGCTGGGAATACAGGCATGAGTCATGAAATTAGTATTCATTCTCTAACTTTTTTGTTCTTGATTGAAATTGTTCTGACTATTCTAGTTCCATTGCCTCTTTTTTTTTTTTTTTTTTTTTTTT